AGGAATAAGGACTAAAGAGTAATATTGATTTCTGCCTGTCCATCTGTCTTTTGTGATAACGCCATCTTTCGAAACAGCGTCTCTCGATATTTGGCGGAAAATGGGGCTGGGAGCCTATGAGCCCTATGGCGAAACTTGGGTCAATCTATATTAATAAAAGAGTAAAGTAATTGACTGACTTAACGGTTCATCAACGCCCAGACGATACGACTGAAACTAGAGTCTTGAAATTTTGGGTGAAGGTCACTTTTGATCCGAACGGGTCAGATAAGGCTGGGTTTTTGGAAATTTGTACTGGAACGGTAGGAAAAGTATCAAAAGGTACTGAATATGGTACCCTATGGATTTGAGGAAGCAGTAGAGCTAGAACTCTTATATTTGGAATGTGGGTCACTGATTGAGTGAATGATAGATGTACAAAAGCGTTTTTAGAAATTCGTATTAAGGTGTACTACATTTGGTACAGTTTGGGTTTGTGTGAACCTTGTGTGAAGGGCTGAAATCCAGAAATTGGGAATTACGATTACTATTGGAGTATAGGATTGGGGTATGTAGTAACTTTTGGAAATTTGTACTTATGTGCATTTCATATTGGGTGAACAGATAGTGCTTGAAATCTGAAATTTAATATTAAGGTCGCTGTTCAGGTTCCGAAACCACGGAAATGTATACTATAATTGTACGAAAAGTGTTGAGTGGTACTATGTTTGTTATTCAGTGATAAAATTCTGCAATTTGATATTTAGATTACTTGGTGTTTAGGACTGAGATATGGAATATTTTGCAATGAGTACTAAAATTGTACGAAAAGTACTAAATGGTGCAACGTGTTGATTTCATGCAATTGGTAACAACAGCATCAACGGCTACAACCAGACTGCAAGGCGTGCGACGTTAACAGCAACACAACTTAGTTTTCGGTGGTATGTCGTTCACAGCATAAGGCTATGAATTCTCATTGACTTTGAAGGGCCGGTCACATATAGTGTTCGGTTTGCAGAACGATAGGACAGGTTTGATACTGCATGGGGCTTGCCAAAGGGAAGCTGGTGATTTTCTGAATCCTTTGCTATCTTCCGACGAATAAAACCATTAGCTGGGAATTCTTTTTTCAAGACTAGCTCTCATTAAGTTGAGTTGCCGGTAATACATTTCCGCAGGAGTTTCTGCTCGCTATTCTGCAGGAGCTTGCCGTTCCGCTGAACCCGAATGAGTTCCGATCCAACTACAAAGCCTAGACATCGGTAGCCGAATCTACCCTCAACGAGCTGCCGATCTTGAACGAGTTCCGATCCATCTACAAAGCCTTGGGCATCGGTTACCGAATCAACTCCCAACGAGCTGCCGAACCCGAAAGAGTTCCGATCCATCTACAAAGCTCTAGGCATCGGTTGCCTGGCAGCTGCTCCCAGCTGAGGATCTCCACAGTGGATTGCTAAATTTTATACCACATCCGCCTCCCTGTACATCCCAACCATCTACCTTGCAAACCCCGATTGTTCACCGCTCGTCAGCCCAACGAATTTCCGATTAACTCTACATCGACAACATTTCGAACGCTAACGAAACCGAGCACAATCATCATGACTCCTGATTATATACAACCCGTCGACAATCGGCGACAAGAAGTTCTCGATTACCTTCAAATCATCAACATCCCGCATCACCCGATTACGCAGCGTCGTAATTCCTGGTCTTCCTCACCAATCAACATCCGACGGTCATCCCAATTGTCGCCTAACCACACTTCACATCAACCACCCGAGTACGCATTGTGAACAACCCGACATCATCATTCCCGATTGTCCACGCGTCCTTCACCCTCTTGCCTACGATACGAGTAAACATTTAATTCCCGATCATAAATTGAACAACACTACTTAAAATTCCCGAACACCTCCGAAATCCCTTTGCCACATTTATCTTATCGTATTTCAACCCGAGTAGATTGTAATTAAGTTTTGATAAAACGGAAAACGGTAGTTTTTACTTCCTTATAAAAAATCCTACAGACTTACAAATAATGTATGCATTTCTATGCGTTCGGAAGCTAGTGATATCTCCACAGAGAGACAGGTGGTTATTGCTAAATCGGTGTTTATTGCAACCGAACATGATTGTTGCTGGTTATCAACATCTAATATGGTTATCTTGAAGGATTACACACAATATATCAAATGTAAATTTCTGCTCTTATTAGAATAAAATTATTAAAACCTCATAGAGTTCTGCATGGACCTGATGAAAATCAAAAATTATTAGTAACTAACCAATTCAATATAATATCAATTTAATATTCATAATTTAGTATTATCGATATTGCTCGTAAGTTGCAGGTGTGAGCAATTATCTGTTTGCTGCCTTTCAATTTAATTCAACTATTGATTTTCATGGCTATTTACATGGATATCAATTGGACTAATAGATAAGTTCAACCTCCTCCTTTATTAAAAAAGTGATGATAATAAATTATTTTACTATCACTATGATAGTACAATATTGGATTCATTGTGGAGACAGTTTGGCAGCTCTGGCAAAATGATAACCCAAGTTATAGAAGATCTTATAGACATATTTCCCTACTTCTTGGATGACTTTTAATGGGACATACTAACATAAAGCTTTCAATAGTGGAGTTACAAAGCAATATCCACCTGGGGTCATTTTCGTAGTAATTCCAGGTTAACTTTATAATTTAGTATATAATGTAATCTATAATCATATATCCCGCGCACATGCGATTACAATTTGGGGCATGGATCTATATAGTCAGTTCTCTTTCAGAGGGTAAAGTACTTGCATAGAACTCCTTGTGTAGAATTTCAGACAATTCCATTGAAAAATTTGGCTAAAGTCTTTTTATACCAAATATCTGGGGGTTGCGTCATATGGTGACTATACGATATCGTAAACCGATGTAGCCCATCATCGAACTTGACTTTCCTGCAGACAAAATACTGATAAGTGCAAAATCTTAGCCTCCTATCTTAGCCTCCTATCTATCGTTTTGACTCTTGCGTGATTACAACAGACGGGCGGACTGACAGGGCTAAATTAATTTAGAATTTTACGCTGATCAAGAATAACCAGGGTGAGATAAAAAAAAAAAACTGCAACAAAGTCAAACGCCATAATTTTTACATTTTTATTTAATTTTATTGAATGAAAGCAAAAAATGTCGGAAATAGCATTAAATTTTAGAATAAGTTTAGATTTGTTCGAATTGGTCACCTTTGGCCTTCAAACAGCCAATGAAACAATCACACGCTGCCGGAATGTTGCTCTGTGGTATTTTGGCCCATTCCCGGCGAAGCGCTTGCATGAGGTGATCGACACTTTGGTATTGCTTTCCAAAATACTCCAGACACAATAGTCCAACGGATTGGTATACGGTGATTTTTGTGGCCATTGTGGGCTGGAAATGAAGCGAGGAACCTCATTTTGTAACCATTCTTGGGTGGCGCGTGCTGAGTGCGATGGTGGTGAGTCCAGTTGGAATGTCCAAGGTCTGCGGACAAAATGTTTGCGTACCCAAGGCTTTAATACACCCTCCAGAATATTTTTGCTAAAATATTCGGCATTTATTCTGATGCCAAGGTCGATTAATACGAGCGGAGATCAACCTTCGGCTGTTATGGCGGCCCACACCATAACCATGGCCGGTGCTTGAGCTCTGGTGGCAAACCGAAGGTGCAAATGTTCAGCTGACCCCTTTGGCAAGTAAACACGATAATTTTGTTTGTTAACAAACTGTTGTAATCACCCTATCTTTCGAACGAATTAATATAGAAGGCTAAAATTTTGCACACATGTTCATTTTTTCATGTAGTCCCCAGACAACGGCGGATATTTGGTATTTTGATGATTTTAGCGACATTATTCACCTGAATCGTTTCAAATTTGGTATTTGAAGGTCGTAACGGGTACTACAGCCTGAGACAGAAAATTGTCTGTGCAGGTCCACGACTTCGTATAGGCCCCATATAACGGTACCTCCCAACATTCGGTATTTTGATGATTTTAGCGTCATTTTTCACCGGAGTAGTTTCGAATTACGTACTTAGAGTTCATAATGGGAACTACAGTCTATGACGGAAAGTTGTCTATACTGGTCCATGTCTTCGTAAGCTCCGACATAACGGTACCACCCCATAGACGGAATTTTGATGATTTTAGCTTCATTATTTACAGTTTATTTCAAGTTTCGAATTTGAATATCGTGATGGCTTATGACAAACAAAGCTAATGTAGGTACACGTCGTAGAGATTCGGTATTTTTAAGATTTTTCGAACCATTTCTGCTGATGTTGCTGTTTTCTTCTGTCCACTTCTTTGGCGTCGGGCTACGCTACCAGTAACGAGCGATGGTATGAGAGACACAAGATTTATTCACATTTAAATGCTGGAGTACTCTAACGATAGCCACTTGTGGTTTCCAGCCATATATAAAGATATCACACTATCACGCTTGAATTCCATCACGAAAAATGTTATATCTGGAAAATGCCTACCAAAATGCTTTTGTACGCTTGTAAACCATATAATGAGCGTGTGGCTTAGAAATGATAGCAGTCTGAAGTTGATTGCAGTTTTTTAATCTCACCCTATATATACTTTTGTAGGTCTAAAATTGTTATTTCCATGAGTTACAAACGAAATGACGAACTTAAAATACCTTCCGTACTATGAATAGTGAAGGGTATAAAAATCAATAAACCTATGGAAACCCTTGGGTACATCTGAACTTACCTCGGGCGACAAGAAAACCACGTTACACTTTTTTGATTGCAAACATTCCTAGATGCATATACATTTATAACGTGTTTTCAAAAGCCTATAATTCTGCATTTACACAAGACAAAACAATTGAGTTTGTGTATAGTTTTCAAAATAAGAAATTCAGCACTTTCTTTCATGCAATCTTATTTCTTTAAAAAAAACTATGCAATCATAGATATCCGAAAAATAATATAATCACACATTCATTGCCTTTTTGTGCCTCCTGTCAATATTCAAAATAGTTTTTGTAATAGAAAATAAAATTAAAATTTCTGAAAATATATATTTCATATAAATTCCAATGGATAAAATTTGAAGTCCCAGATAAATAAATTGCAAATGAAGAATTTTAACGAATTAGGCGAAACTATTTTGGCCGGAAATCTTAAAAAGAGGTAAGTCTTATAGCTGCTTAGTGCTCATCACCATGAATTGAAAATTGTGAGTTGTTGCAGAAAAACTTTCGGGATATCGACATTTGGTTACCATTTAAAATTAATGCTCCATCGAGATTAGCCGAAAAAGATGGATTAAAGAGATATGGAGCTTCTGGGCATGAAGGGGAAAAAGTGATATTGTCTTATTTACTTATCATCCACATTGGTTGTTATAAACATTTCTCTGTCTCGTTTTTTTTTTTTTTTTTTCTTTTTTTTTTTGTGAAAAGTATGACAATTGTCATGCTCGTAAAACAAGCTGAAAGACATGCCACTTGACAAACGTTGGCAAAAAATATTTATCAGATTTCCAGTTTTTTTTGTTTGCCTCTTTTTATTAACCCAATAAAAGTGTCTACCAGAAATACCGACAATTCTTATCAGATTTGTTTGTGAAAACATGTGCTGCCACAATAATTGTGTGTTCAATATCGGTATTGGTAACAAGTGTTTCGATAACTAGTTTTGCATATATTGGCCAACAAAAATCAACAAAGAAAAAATGAATAACAATAGCAAATCAAATTAAAGTAATAAGGCAATTGTATGACAAAAATAGATAACAGATGCGGTGATAAGGTGAACAGGTTTTTATTCACCCCTTTAAGGTGGGGTATGTTATTGCTGTATGTTACCCTGCGTACACATATGTTGTATGGAGGGTTTATCAAATTGGTTATTCCGTTTGCAATCATCATCGAAATATTGGTCGGAGACCCTAAAAAGTATATACTTGGTCAGAGTAAAATTTTAAGTCAATATAGCGATATCCGTCTGTTTGTTGAAATAACGATGTTTAATCTTGAGCTTTGTATTTTGTCACAAAGGTTTATATTATATGCAGGCTGATTGGTATTGAAAATTGGCTATATGAGTCCAGGTTTAAGTATAGTTGGGTTAATTTATAGGTCAGTTTTCTACCTCCAAAATAAAACTTCTTCAGGTCCACTAATTAGTATGGCCCCCATATAACGGCAACTCCCGATTTTCGGTATTTTAAAGGTTTCTGCCACAATTCGTAACCAAATTAGTTGATACTTGGGGAATCTCCCTAGGTCTGTTCTCTCTTTGCAAAAAATGTTCGATTCATGTCGACTAATAGGTATAGCCCCCATAGGACGATACCTCCCGATTTTGGGTCCTTTGAATGTTTCTGCAACAATTTCTGGGAAAAGCAGATGAAACTTGACAATTGGGGTTCGCGGTAGGTCTGTTCTCTCCCTGTCAAAAATATTCGCTACAGGTCCATTAATTGGTATGACTTCCCGATTTTCGGTATTTTAACCCTTAACTACAGATGACCGGTAGTTTTTACCGGTAAGCATTTACAATTTTTCAATTTCGGGGATAACTGAATATATTTTGCTTTAAAAAACTTGTGCGGTTTTATTAAAATAAATAGTTTTAATACTTTTTCAAGATCTTTATATACAAGAAATATGTAACAGATATATATTAAACATTTTTTTCAATTGTTTTACAGGAATTTTATACATTTTATACAACCGGTAAAAATTACCGGTGGTCTGTACTAACGTTCGTATAATTTCATGTCTGTAGTTAAGGGTAAAAGGTTTCTGCCACAATTTCCAACTACATTAGCTGAAACATGACAAAGCAATTCCCTGTGGTTCTGTTCTCTCTTTGCACAAAATGTTCGATTCAGGTCCACTAATAGGTATACCTCCCGATTTTCGATTTCAAAATTAGCTGAAACTTGACAATTGGGGTTCTCCGTAGTCAGTACCTCCCTGCAAAGAATTTTCGTTATTATTATTTTATTTTTTTATGTATTTATTTATTTTTTTTTATTTATTTTATTTTTATTATTATTATTATTTTTTATTTTTGAAAGAATATCAGAATTTCACCTCCATTTCTTCACCCAATACCAAATATAGTAACATTTGGTATGCATATCCAAAACAATCTACATCTCTCCATCCTAATCACCAACAGCGATCCAAAATTAGTACTATTTAGTATTTTTCGAACAATTATAGTACAAACACAGGTCTCAATAGAGACCTCGAGATTCCAGCTCTATTCCCTCACCCAATATCATATTTAGTACCACTTAATATTTTCCAACTATAGTACAAATTCCCAAAACCCCAACCAAATTTAAACAGCAAATGCTAAAAGAGTCCTCAATATCAAATTTCGGAATTGCAGTTCTATCTCTTTACCCAAAACCCAATATAGTACCAAGTAGTACCTTTCGAACAATTATAGTGAGCATTTCAAAAAACCAACCTATAAATTTTAACCACCCAACACCCAATTCAGTATCACTCAGTAATTTTCGACCAACCACTCAACCACAGCTGTGTAGTGTATTTTTAGACAACTTTTTTTGGACTGTGTGTAGGAAGGACAAGTGTATGTTCAAATATTTCACAATTAATTCATTGTTTTGATCCAATTAAGTCTATTGTTATGACAAATAATTTGTGGAAATTTCAGCTGATACATTAAAAAACCATTCAAACCGCACTACCTTAACAACCTACTGCAACGTTATTTCCAATCTAATTTTAAATAGCCGGATTTTGATATGGTTTTTCCTGGAATTCCAATAAAATGCATTTTGCAGCAAATATTTCTGTAGGTAATTCTTAACGTTTATGCGGATCTCCGTGTGTTGAAATCGTATCAAATAATTGTCAACATTTTAATAAAAATAAGCTAGAGGGTTTAAGTCGACCACTTATTTGTGTAAACCAATTTTCGGAGACGTTGCCGAAAAGATTGGGCCGACATATCTTTACACTAGATCTAATGTTAGTGGAAATATTGAAATGTGCCGAGTTCAAAGAGAACTGAGAAATAATTTCGCATTTAATGAAAATTGTGAAGAAATTAACTGTTCGTTGAAGGAGATCTAGTGTTTTTAAAGGGATATTCGTCGAAAGTTTCAAATATTTGTGGTAATAATCGGATCTAAAAATTTGATGAAAATGTAACAGTGATTTCCCAATTTAAGGGAGTTTTTATTTAGTAAAGTGTTGACCTTTTGTGAGGGAAATATGGGAATGAGTGGACCAGTCAACTAGTCAATTGTCGCACCTTATTTAAATGTTACGATTTTGACCTTTGCGGGAGAGGTACAAGAAGGAATGAGGTCATATTGTCAATTTTCTCACCTGAATTAAATTTTTCCAAAAATTACGATATACATATTTTAAACTATATCATCATATATAATATGAGGTTCGTATTTATTTTTGATGTAGGTTTGACAAAAATATATCGAAGAACCAAATCCGATATTCCCTTCGAGAGTTATTGCGTGCAGAGAGAGACAGACGTACATGCCTAGATCGTCTGCAAATTTCCTGAGAGACATGGGGTTTAAAAGACTAATTAAAATGACTGTGGGTATAACAAACAAAAGAGACGTTAATTACTATGTGGAATGGAAATATTGGAATATAGGATTATTTTTAGAAGAATTGTTTTTTTGCTTTCTATAATCCCAAATACCAATACTATGTAAAATATTTTAAAACCATAATAAATTTAATTTCCGGCGGTACCTAAATATGAATATAATATCGCAATATGGAAATGCGTCGATCACTTCACACAATGGTAAAATTTGGTTGAATATGAAAAAATCTATTCAATTTGGGCTGATATTAAATATATGGTGAGCAAACCTGTAAAATTGGATGAAGATGTATATCAAGTCACATAAAAATCTGAACCGATCTCGATAACATTTAGAAAGAGGTATTTTCGAGCAGTAGCTGATGTCGGTGTCAAATATCATCGCTGGGAAGTGAATATTACGCATGTGAGGAACTGTAACAACAAATCGGATAAAACATATATATCGGAGCTATAGCCATATCTGAGTAGATTTTCACCAAATTTAAAGTACATTTTTCTAGGATGATTTCAGTCGGATGTGCCAAAATTCTGTCCGTTTGGGTTGATATTAGCATTTTTCTTTTAAATTTTATTGAATTAAAGCAAAAAATGTCGGAAATAGCATCAATTGGCACAAATTATGGCCTTCAAACGGTCAATGAAACCGTCACAAGCTGCCCGAATGTTGCTCTGCGGTATTTTGGCCCATTCCCGGCGAAACGCTTGCTTGAGGTGATCTACACTTTGGTATTTTTTAGTCCCAACACCACACACAATAGTCCAACGGATTGGTATCCGGAGATTTTTTTTGTGCGCTAGAAATGAAGCGAGGAACTTTACTTTGTAACCATTCTTGGGTGGCGCGTACTGGGTGTGAGTCCTGTTGGAATTTCCAAGGTCTGCGCCTAAAATGTTTGCGTGCCCAAGGTTTTAATACACCATCCAGAATGTTTTCGCGATAATATTCGACATTTATTCTGATGCCACGGTCGATTAATACAAGCGGAGAGCGACCACTGGCTGTTAAGGCGGCCCACACCATCGCCTTGACCGGCGCTTGAGTTCTGGTGGCCAACCGAAGGTGCACATTTTCAGCTGACCTCTTTGGCAAGTAAACACGATCATTTTGTTTGTTAACAAACCGCTGGACAACGAATGTTTGAGTCTATTTTCTTTCTGTTGCGGTGTAAGTTTTTGCACTTTTTGGAATTTTAATGGCTTTACCCCGAGCTCATTTTTCAATATTTGCCGAATGGAATATTGCAATATGTTCAGCTCACGACCCATTTTTGGGTCACTGCAACGTGAGTTTCGATCAAGTCGCTTCTTAACTTTTCGAACCATTTCTGCTGATGTTGCTGTTTTCTTCCGTCCTTTTCCTTGACGTCGGGCTACGCTACCAGTATCACGGTAACGAGCGATGGTACGAGACACAAAATATTTATTCACATTTAAATGCTGGAGTACTTTATAATAGCCATCTGTGGTTTTCCAGCCAAATATAAAGAAATCACACTATCATGCTTGAATTCCCTAACGAATAACTTTTTTTTCTGAAAAATTCTCTCCAAAATGCTTTTGTACGCTTGTAAACAATATAATGAGCTGTCACTGTAATAATTTTAACAGCTGTCGGACGAGTGGCTTTTAAATGATAGCATTCTGAAGTTGGTTGCAGTTTTTTCATGTCACCATGTATATTTGGGAGCTATATCCTAATCTGACCCGATCTCGATAAAATTTGACAGAGGTACTTTCGAGATGCATAAGTTATCTAGTATCAATATTATTCTTGTATGGAGTGTATGTTACGCGTGTGAGGGATCTTAAACCCAAATCGGATCAAACATATCAACCTTAGTATTTTTGGTACTTTTCGTACACTTATAGTTCACATTTCCAAAACCACTTCAATTCACTCAATTCAATATTTCAAAATTCAAGTTACTTCCGTTCAAACCTTGATTCTTGTATCAAATTTCAAGTTTTTAGCTGTATCCGTTCACATAACACCAAATTATACCATTTCAGAAGTTCATGACATTTAAGAATTTTTATAAACTGAAAGTTCGAATTTCCAAAAACCTTATGGTATATATGTTTATAAAAATTCTTTAATGTACTCTATTAGTGACCCTGTACTCTATTAGTAACTCTTTTTCCAAATTTCAGAATTCTACCTTATTCCGTTTGTCCAATACAAATGTCCAATTCGTATTCAATTTTTAGTACATTTCATTACTTTTCTTCTCTTTCAGTACGAATTTCCAAAAACTAGCCTTATCACGCACCTAGCAAAATTTCACGATCTTAGCTTCAGTCGTCTGGGCATTGATTCTCGGTCAGTCAGTCAGTTATGTCAATAATTTTATATATCATAAATGGTCTGTCGGAATTTGTGACGTATATGACATGCTTTTCCGATGTATCGGAAACCTAGGCAAATGATACGATTTTTTGCCAGAAACACGGCAATGAATATTTGTCAAGGTTATAATTCTTGTTTATCTATCTGAGAAATTGTATCAGGGAGTATCAACGAATTTGGGGTGTTACAATATTATAGAAGTTTACGACATTTCTTATTTTTGTACGATATTTTTTACAGGCTTATGACGTTTTCGACGTTAAAAACTTTTCGAGAGTCGAACACCTTAAAACTGTCAAACGGACTATAGGTTAAAAAAAAACATATACATTTTTAAATGTTTTTTATTTCATGATATATTTTTTACTTTTTGCTGTTAAAGGAAACAATCGGTTTTATTTTAGGCTCAAAATGGTTTTTTGGGGAAATATGGGGACTGAGTGTGTGTGCTAATTTATTTTGGATATTTGCTGTTGTGAAGGATATTTGGATGACAAAATTCCTTTCATAATATACATAGCATGATGAAAATGTTGAACTAGTTGGATGTCAGATATTCATTAGGTTCCATGGCGATTTTCACAAATTTAATGAGTACCAGGAGCAGGAGCCACATTCACAGAAGTGGCAGAGTTAAGGTGACCAGCCAAGGGAGCTGTGTGGACAGCACCACGAGTCTTGGCAACATAAACACCAGGTCCATGAGCACCATGAGCCAAACCAGGTCCTTGGCTCAGAGAAATACCGGGATAACCACCCCAAGCGCCATAGCCATGACCCCAGGCTCCACTAACATCGACAGCGGCGTGAGCGGCATAAGGTCCAGCCCAAGCACCATGAGCAGCCCAGGGTCCACCCCAGGCTCCATGACCAGCCCATGGTCCACCCCAAGCTCCGTGACCACCCCAAGCTCCGTGACCACCCCAAGCTCCATGACCCCAGGCAGAAGCATCATGGGTACCGCCCAACAACAAGGATGATTGGACACCGACAGCAAGGGCCAACAAGACGACAGCACAAACGAACTGAAAATGTAAGAAATGGAAATTCGTGAACATGGTGTGACAAATATAGGAAAATGTTTTAAAAATTCGTCTTCAAATTTGTTGGAAAGAGAAAACATCGCGTTACAATGGAATTATTGAGAGGCAAGTTCGGTGAAAATTTTATTTCACGTTGGGCCAGTCAATTGGCCGCTTAACTGGTGTGATTTAACGTCTTTAGACTATTTTTACGGGGCAATCTTAAAGCTTATGTCTATACAGACGAGCACGCTTCTATTGAAGTAACATTGAGGCATTTACTCGAGAGGTTGCGGCCGAAATATTGGTTGGATTTTTCAGAATTTTTTTCTCCCTCTCTCTCTCTCTCTCTCTCTTAAAAAATTGCCCATCAAATGTTTTCTTTATCACATAGTGGAGTGTAGGATATTAAAATTTTGGACCAACCAAACATAGTTTTTTATGTATTTCTTAACATTGCAAATTGCTCTGTTCCAGAACCTGCAAGAAGGGAAAATCGGTTATCGTAGTAGAAACTTTTACATTCTTGCAGTTTTGGAACAGACCATATATTTATAAATAATAAATTCCGATGACATTTAAATTCAGGGAAACTACGGTTAAGTGTTTAATGTTCAACAAAAACTGGTAAAATATCATAATCCTTTTTGAATTTTTGGCCAGTGAAAAACAATTTCGAGAGACTATTTCTAGAAAAGAATTGGAACGTAATATTACTAAAGGTACAACTGAGAACTGTTACGATTATAGACGCTTAGAAAAGAAAGAAATGATAGAAAAGTGCATATGCAGGTCTTTGTATAGCACCCATATACATCCCTATATTCGGTATTTGGATGATTTTAGTGATGTTGTTCAACAAAACTATTTAAAATTTGGTATTCGATGTTCTATTTTCTCTGATAAAAACCAGTAAAGAAAGCTGTTCACGGATAAGTGAACATGTTTTTATAATAAAAGAGAATAGCGGGGCTAACTCGTGTAGATGAGAGGGATTTGTTAAACAGGGATCTTTTTAATACAGTCCATATTATATAAGATAAGAAAATGTGGTGAACAGACCTTTGAGTTAGAAATAAATAATTCAATTGCTGCATGTGGTATGTTTGAGTTAGATTACTGGATGAAATCTTAACTCATACTGATAAGAAAGTGCAGCATGTTTGCTTGCCACAAGTGAGATAGCTACGCATGTTTTATGACCTCCCCTAGAATTTATGGCGGCATGGTGCACAGGCATGTGTAGATTTGTATCTCTCTATTTCTCTCTCTCTCTCTCTTACACTTTATGCTAGACTAGGTTAAGAAAAATTATCATAAGTAGAACTTAAGAATTATTTTAAATTAATAAAAAGAGTGTAGTAACAAAAGTAAAACGGTGCATACATTTCTTCCGCGTACATCTGGTCCATCGAGCCTAAACGTAAAACAAAAAAATAATAATAAAAGAACCAGCAAAACAAAAAAGATGAATACGGCTACACCCGAGAATTGATGCAGGAAATTGAAAAACAATTGATGAAATTAAAACCGGAGAATTAAAATCTCAAAAATTGCTTTCGGAAGACTCAACAGAAGCTGAAGAAACTGGAGCAGACAATAAATTGATGGCGGCAGACAATAAGGATGATAAAGGAATGGAGACTCAAAACCTACATCCCAAAACAGAGGAAAGGGAAGAATTGGGTGCAAGGAGCATTCAATGGAATTTCCCTAGTATGCGGAGTCAAAAGGAGATTGCGGCAAGAGAAACGGCGGTGACGGCGAGCAAACACGATGAGGGGGCCTCACATCTGGGCAAAAAGGCGTCAGACATAAGGGATGTGACTGTGGGGTCATACTCCCGGGAGGACGATTCGTTGGAAAGCTCGGCATCGACCAAGATCGAGTTAGAGGCCAGAGCGATCATCCGAGATATGGAAGAAACGGCGGTGTTGGCGAGCAAAAGCGACGAGGGGGCTTCAAATCTGAACATAAGGGAGTCAGACAAAAGGGATGTGGCTGTGGGGCCATACTCCCGGGAGGACGATTCGTTGGAGAGCTCGGCACCAACCAAGATCGAGTTAGAGGCTAGAGGGATCATACGAGAGGTAGAATGTACCATGATACTGATGGATAGCTTAGAGACGGAAAAGGATATAGAGACAGCATTTGATTTTATCGGAAATATTGTGAAGACCGCGGAAAGGGAGATACTAATCGATCCAGAAATTCAGGAACAATGGAGACGACTGTTAATGAAGAAATCAAAAATGTTAGCAGCGATCAGAGAATCTCAGTCAAAAATAGCAGAAAGGGTGGAGCAGCCGTACAGCATCATCAATAAAAGGGAAATTGAAGTTCCCACATTCAGTGGTGATATAAGTGACTGGGAATCCTTTCATGATCTTTTTAAGAGCCTAGTGCACGATGCACCGTACTACACCAACGTGGAAAAAATGCATAGGCTAAAGGCGGCGGTAAAAGGAGAGGCGAGTCATATAATACAACATCTAAGGACGCAGGACAACTCTTATGACGAGGCGCTACAGTTGTTGAAATTAACATACGATAATCGGAGGGTGCTATTCAATAAGATGGTGGATGACATTTTGGATCAGCCAACAATGGATAGTGAGTCCACAAAGAGCGTGAAACAGATGCTGGACACAACAAAGAATAGCATTCAAGGCCTTAAATCCATCAATATACAATTGGAAAACACCGATATATTTTTCGCAAGGGTTATTCTAAGGAAATTTGACAGAAATGGATTAAGGCTGTACGAACAGCAAACAAGAAAGCCAAGAGAAACACAAAAGTTAAGTGACGTTGTTCAGTTTTTGGAACAAAAATATTTGGCGTTGGAAGCAGAGGACAAAGATAAGCTGTTTACCATCGAGATGAAGAAGAAGAAGGATATCCATCTGTGTCGCTGGGGCAATAAGGTGCTCAAGGAAGCGCAAGTTGCCAAGAAGATGCCTGGTGGAAACCATGCAGGTAGAAAAAGGCAGGCTGGAGAGACAAGAAACTATGAACTCTGGGGCGATAAGATAGCGCTGCCAGAGAACGATGACATTTTTCGCAAAAGAAAGAAGACGATGCATAAAACGGATTCAGCCTGGAAATTAAAGCCGGCAGACAAAGGAGGTGGGACGTTCAAGATAGACCGGCTGGAAAGATGGAGGAGTTTCCTGGGTGCCATAACTTAATTTCTTTTCTCTTAAAATGTCTGTTCCATTAGATTTATTTAACTTTTTATAATTTTTATATTTTATACGTATTTTTGCCCCTGCCAAGAATGTTCACGGATAAGTGAACATGTTTTTATAATAAAAGAGAATAGCGGGGCTAACTCGTGTAGATGAGAGGGATTTGTTAAACAGGGATCTTTTTAATACAGTCCATATTATATAAGATAAGAAAATGTGGTGAACAGACCTTTGAGTTAGAAATAAATAATTCAATTGCTGCATGTGGTATGTTTGAGTTAGATTACTGGATGAAATCTTAACTCATACTGATAAGGAAGTGCAGCATGTTTGCTTGCCACAAGTGAGATAGCTACGCATGTTTTATGACCTCCCCTAGAATTTATGGCGGCATGGTGCACAGGCATGTGTAGATTTGTATCTCTCTATTTCTCTCTCTCTCTCTTACACTTTATGCTAGACTAGGTTAAGAAAAATTATCATAAGTAGAACTTAAGAATTATTTTAAATTAATAAAAAGAGTGTAGTAACAAAAGTAAAACGGTGCATACATTTCTTCCGCGTACAAAAGCTCAAAAGTCGGGCGGGGCCGACTATATGATACCCTACACCACTATGCATATTCAGTAGAGCTCTCGTAAAAGGTTTATACAGGACATTTCAGAGCTCTATGAGATATTTGGTACAAAATCAAAATCAATCTAATTCAATCGTGCATTTTACGTACTATAGCTATCTCTGAACCGAGTTTCTCCAAATTTGACGTATTAGCTTCTAGACTGAATTCGGTCTTATGTACGAAAATTCAGGTGATTTGGGCTGATATTGGCCATTTGATGCACAATTAACACGAAATCGGATGAAGATGTATATGGTAGGCATAACCAAATCGGAACAGATTCTAATAAAATAAAATCAACTAATTTTGGGCTTTATCTGATATTTGGTACCAAATATCATTCCTGTGGAGTGCATATTACGAATGTGAGGGACTTAAAGACCAAATCGGATGAAAAATATATATGTGAGCTATAGCTATATCTGAACCGATTTTTACTAAAATTGGTATACTTGCTTCTAAGCTGGTTTCGGTCGGATTTGCCAAAATTGATGCTATTACGGCAATTTGGTGGTCAATCACCCGAAATCGGATGAAGATATATATGGGAGCTATATCCAAATCTGAACCGATTTCGATAAAATTTAAAACAGCTATTCCTGTGCTCCATCTAATACCTGGTACCAAATATCACGGTTGTGGAGTGAATATTACGAATGTAAGGGACTAAAACACTAAATCGGATGAAACATATATATGGTTGCTATATCTATATCTGAACCGATTTTCACTAAATTTGATATACTTGCTTCTAGGCTGAATTTGGTCCGAAGTACTAAAATTCAGTCCATTTGGACTTATATCGGCCATTTGGTGCACAATTAACCCGAAATCGGATGAAGATATGTATGGGAGCTATATCCAAATTTGAACCGATTTTGATAAAATTACGAACAGCTATTTCTGGGCTGTATCTTATATCTGGTAAGAAATATCATTCTTGTGGAGTGCATATTACGAATGTGAGAGGCTTAAACACCAAATCGGATAAAACATATATATGGGAGCTATAGCTGTTTCCGAACCGATTTTCACCAAATTTGTTGGTCAATTAACCCGAAATCGGATGAAGATATATATGGGAGCTATATTCAAATCTGAACCGATTTCGATAAAATTTAAAACAGCTATTTTTGTGCTCCATCTAATACCTGGTACCAAATATCACGGTTGTGGAGTGCATAGTAGGAATGTGAGGGACTTAAAGATCAAATCGGATGAAAGATATATATGAGAGCTATAGCTATATCCGAACCGATTTTCTCCAAATTTAATATACTTGCTTCTAGGCCAAAATTCAGGTAATTTGGACTGATAGTGGACATTTGGTGCACATTTAACCCGAAATCGGATGAAGATATATATGGGAGCTATATCTAAATTTGATCCGATTCTCACCAATTTCAATAGGGTTCGTCCTTGGGCCAAAAAAATATTGTTTGGAAAATTTCATCTCAATCGGATAATAAATGCGACCTGCATTTTGTTCACAAGAATACATGGACAGACGGACGGACGGACGGACAGACGGACTGACATGCATAAATCGACTCAGAAAGTGATTCTATGAAGGTTCTCAAAAGTAACTATGGGTCTATCTCGTTTCCTTCTCCATGTTACAAACAAATGCACAAAGACATAATACCCTTACCACTATGTGGTGTAGGGTATAAATACCTGTAAATGCCAACATTTTTGAATAGCCGCCATATAACTGCACCTACCGATATTCGGTACTTTGATGATTAATTTTTCAACGAAATTGTTCAAAATTTGGTATTAGGAGTTTGTATATTCCAATGAATTTTTTTGAAATTTTGCACGTTGCTTCTAAATGATGGAGGGTGTTCAAAGTTCGGCCGGCCGAACTTAGCTGCTTTTTATACCCTACATCACACTGTGGTAAAGGTATTATTTCTTTGTGCTTTTGTTTGTAACATGGATAAGGAAGAGAAATAGACCTATAGTTAGTTTTGAGGATCTTCATAGAATCCCTTCTTGAGTCGATTTATGCGTGTCAGTCCATCCGTCTGTGCATGTATTCTTGTGAACAAAACGAATCCTATTGAAATTGCTGATAATCAGATCAGATTTGGATAAAGCTCCCATATATATCTTCAACCGATGTCGGGTTAATTGTGCACCAAATGGTCGATATCAGTCCAAATGACCCGAATTTTGGCACGTCCGATCGAATTCGGTCTAGAAGCAATTACATCAAATTTGGAGAAAATCGGTTAAAATATAGCTCCCATATATATGTTTCATACGTAATATGAATTCGACAACAATGATATTTCGTACCAGATATCTTATAGAGCTCTGAAATACCTCTGCCAAGTTTTATCGAGGTCGGTTCAGATTTGGATATAGCTCTCATATATATCTTCAACCGATTTCGGGTTAATTGTGCACCAAATGGTCAATATAAGTCCAAAATGACCTGAATTTTGGTACATCCAACCAAATTCAGTCTAGAAGCAAGTATATTAAATTCGGTTTAGATAAAGCTCCCATATATATGTTTACATACATATTACATTCGTAATATGCATTCGACAACAATGATATTTGGGACCAGTTATCAGATACAGCCCAGAAATATGTCTGCCAAATTTTATCAAGATCGGTCCAGATTGGGATATAACTCCCATATATATCCTTAATCCGATTTCCGTTTCATTGTGCAAATAATTCCTAAATTCAGCCAAAATGCAATGAATTTCGGACGCACGTTTCCATTTGGAGAAACTCGGCTCCGATATAAATAATTTTAATACAATCCTTCTCGAAGAGATATCATGCACTCTATAGCAATGTTATTTGTTATAAAATTGAAAATCGGTTCAGAATTGAATATGCCTCCCAAATATTATGCCATGTTTACGTTAGAACTTTTTGTAGGGTTAACCTTCTTTGAGAGGATTTATTTGAAGTAAAAGTAATGGATATGACAATTTAAATTCAAATCCAGTGGGTTAACCCTCATATATATAAACGTACTATTAGTTCCCTCTCAACCCAAAATATAACTAATCTAAAGCCAAATGTTGAATAGGTGGTATGATCTACTTCAAATAAATTATTTTGTTACGGGAGCTCTACTAATTATGCATAGTAGAGTAGGGTATCATATAGTCGGCCCCGTCCGACTTTTGGCTTTTCCTTACTGTTTTTTTAATTAAGTTAAATGGTTACATATATCTATTTCACAATAATTACACGCTAGGCAAACAATTGTCAAATGATTTGAGCGCCAAACCAAACCAAATTGAACCTGAACAAATTCAAAATGGTAAAATTTTCCTCGATGTGAAGTGCCAGCCCACCATGTTCTAAATTACTTTTTATTATCTTCAGCACTGTTAGCTTCGTTTTCGAAACGATGTGTATATGTTGTCTTTGGTGGAGGATTCGAATACGTATTCCATAATTTTTATGTGAACGAATTATTTCGATTTGATAGTTTTGAAACATTTAAATATTTTTCACTTTTTTTAATTTGACATTACAACGTTTTCCACTTTTTTGTTTTTTTTTTTTGCACATTTTAGATTTGAAAATTATTATCCTTTTTAAAAGTTTTTTTTTTTTGTTATTTACCTTCATGTTTACTTGAAAGGATTCAAAACAAAATCGGAGTATTGTATTGACTGAACGATATTTCTATTGTTTCTGATTTCTTCAGCAGAATGCGACGAACTTTTATACTAAACAAAAAAAGAACGGTTTTTAATTGTGGCATTAGATTCTACTCTGGTGTGATTTTCAAATGCCACGCCAAAATAGCAAAACGAAGAACAACAACAACAAAGGCAAAAACAAAATTTAATAATAATAATAATAACAATGTTGCAAATCAACAGTTCGATTTGTAAAAGTGAGCGTGGCGAGCAAATTAACTCATAACCGGAGCACAAAGAAAATATTCGCCAATGTTAACACCAGCGCCTCAATTATTACTATTTTTTTGCAAGTGCAACTTTCTGCCGCTACGAGGGAGGGGTGCCACAAATCAGTAGCAGCACTCGCAAATAACAGTCATCGAGGGTATGTATGCAGCATTGAAAACTTAAGTTGTAATTGAACATATGGCATGGCACGGCAGCTTGACCACTTGTGATCTTCGGCCTTGCATTCTTGGAAAATTGTTTCGAATGCAATCGCCAATACAAGGAACGTTAGATTATGAAGTGACCTTAAATTGTATTGTCATTCACACTCAAGGAAAATGAAACAAAATCCTTGATATTACATGTTTTACTGGAATCGGAAGCATAACAATTAGGATCGGTCCAGTAAAATGACATTCGGTTAGCTTTAATAATTGGTTATTGCAGGCCTGTGTGGTGTTGTAATTGATGGTATATTTCATATCCGGTGAAAAATATGACTCAAATCATTAACATATCGAATATATGAAGGTATATTCATATCGGGTCTATACCAAAAAATTTACAGGTTTAATATTGTGACGCAATGCCCGAAATACCGTAAATCTGCCGGTACATAGGGGATATACCAAAACGTGGACCCGTATAAATCAGCAAGAAAAAGTCAAAAGTCGGGCGGGGCCGAATATACGATACCCTACGCCAGAGCTCTCGTAACAAAAGAATTTATTTGAAGTATATCACATCACCTATCAACATTTGGCTTTAGAGCAGTAATAGTTTGGTTTCAGAGGGACCTAATATATAGGAGGCATATCCAATTCGGAATCGATTTTCATTAAATTTGATGGAGACATTTGATACTTTTATATCCAAATATTAGCCGATCTCGATAACATTTTATAAACGTATATCTGAGCTCTACAGGGTGAGATGAAATAACTGCAACCAACTTTAGACTGCAGTCATTTCCAAGCCACTTGTCCGACAGCTGTTAAAATTATTACAGTGACAGCTTATTATATTGTTTGCAAGCGTACAAAAACATTTTGGTGAGAATCTTCCAGAAAAAAAGGAATTCGTGATAGAATTCAAGCGTGATAGTGTAATTTCTTTTTATTTGGCTGAAAAACCACAAGTGGCTATTGTTAGAGCGCTCCAGCATTTAAATGTCAATAAATCTTTTCTGTCTCGAACCATCGCTCGTTACTGTGATACTGGTAGCGTAACCCGACGTCAAGGACGTGGACGGAAGAAAACAGCAACATCAGCAGAAATGGTTCGCAAAGATTTGATCGTGAGCTGAACATATCGCAAAATTCCATACTGGTAGCGTAACCCGACGTCAAGGAAGTGGACGGAAGAAAACAGCAACATCAGCAGAAATGGTTCGCAAAGATTTGATCGTGAGCTGAACATATCGCAAAATTCCATTCGGCAAATATTAAAAAATGAACTCGAGGTAAAGCCATTGAAATTCCAGAAAGTGCAAGAACTTATACCGCAACAAAAAGAGAATAGACTCAAAAGAGCTAAAGAGTAGCTTCGCTTGGCCGAAAGTGGTGAACTGCCGAATTTGGTTTTCTCCGATGAGAAAACATTCGTTGCCCAGCAGTTTGTAAACAAATCGTTTGTAAAAATTATCGTGTTTACTTGCCAAAGAGGTCAGCTGAAAATGTGCACTTTCGGTTGGCCAGCAGAACTCAAGCGCTGGCCATGGTGATGGTGTGGGCCGCCATAACAGCCGATGTTCGCTATCCGCACGTATTAATCGACGAAAATAATATCGAAAATATTCTGGAGGGTGTACTAAAGCCTTGGGCACATAAACATTTTGACCGCAGACCTTGGACATTCCAAAAGGACTCAGCACCATCGCACTCAGCACGCGCCACCCAAGAATGGTTACATAATGAGGTTCCTCGCTTCGTTTCCAGCGCACAATGGCCACCAAAATCTCCGGATACTAATCCGTTGGACTATTGTGTCTGGAGTATTTTGGAAAGGTTGGAACTAAAAAATACCAAAGTGTCGATCACCTCAAGCAAGCGCTTATCAGGGAATGGGCCAAAATACCACAGAATAACATTCGGTCAGCGTGTGACGATTTCATTGGCCGTGAAGGCCATAATTCGTGACCAATTAGAACAAATCTAAATTTATTCTAAAATTTGATGCTATTTCCGACATTTATTTCTGGGCTGTATCTTGTAACTGGTACTAAAGATCGTTCTTGTAGGGTGCATATTATGAATGTGAGTGACTTAAACACCAAATCGGATGAAACATATATATATATTTGGCTATATTTGGACCTATTTTCAACAAATTTAACGTAGTTGATTCTAGACTGAATATGCCAGCACTGTTCTATTAACAGACAAGACAGGGTCGACAAAAGCGTTTTTGTTGTAAGAGACAAAAACAACTTATATTGTTATGTTAGTTCGTTCAGTTAAACTAAAGCATACCAATTGGAGAAAGATAAAAACTTCTGGAAGTGCGGTTGTAAGATTTAGAAGACTTTCCAAAAGAATTTTAGTTTAATTTAATCCTTTGGTTCCTCTTCTTACGATCTCGTCACTTACGATCTCGTCATTTGGGTGACAAAGGTTTTTTTTAGTCATAGGAATTAATTTTAAATTAACTCCTGGGGAGAATATCCCAGGCAAGAAACATAGGAACTGATGAGGATTGGTGGCTCTTTCCGAAACCTATGTATTCCCTGCCGTACCCCATATTGCCTCACATTAAAATTTATTTTTTTTTTCGAAAATTGTAAGAGGAAGCGAAAAATATTAAACGGCACAAACCGAGCACGATAATTTTTATGAAATACTTGAACTAATTTCGAAAATAAGCAACCGAAACCACATCTAAAATATACGTGTTATCCGTTTTTTCTTCCATTCACAAAATTGTTTAAGAGCATATCTCTTGTTTCATCTTCAATTTAGACTTAACCTTACCCCTAAATCAGATAGATATTTTATTTCAGAACTGTTTCATAATCTGTGAAACCAATTGCTGTTGGAAGCACCTTTCTCACCTTGAAATATTGGTTTCGGGCATAGTTTTCCATATGGATCTTCCTATCTAGCTATGTGTGTTCTAATCATCAGGTCGCATTTATGGTCCGATCCTCACGGAGGTAGGGGTAGGGTCAGAACAGAAGCCTAGTGTTTTTGGAGATTATCGCAATATTGTAAGGGGTTGAACTGGACCCAAAACTGAAAAAATTTGTTAATTTTGCAGTTGTTCTACAGGACATAATTCCATGTGTTTAGAGTTTCGGGCTGAACAGAAAGAAGCCTACCACTTTGGATGGTCATCTGCTAATATTTAGAGGGTGAAATGAACCATAACATTTGTGTACAAAAATACAAAACTTTCCATTAAATTGCGAAATTTTTTATTCTGGCGAAATCACAAATACACGTTAAGGTCAAATCTGACCATTACATTGATCATCGGGTATATATGTATATGTACAATCTATATGTATAAAAGAAATGGATGTTAGCTACAACGCTTAAAATTCTAGAACGGCTAGACCGATTTGGACTATTCTCACTAATTCAGAATGGCCTTTTGGTAGAAAAGAATAAAATCCAGAAAAATCGTATAAAAATGTGCCAACAAAAAGTAAATTTTGTGAAATTTTTTGTCATTTACCACATAGTGGTAAGTATATTTTGTCTTTGTGCATATGTTTGTAACGTGGAAAAGGAAGCTCGATAGACCCATAGTTACTTCATAGAATCACTTTCTGAGTCGATTTATGCATGTCAGTCAGTCCGTCCGTCCACCTTTCCATGAATTTTTGTGAACAAAATGCATTTATTATCCGATAGAGATGAAATTTTGCAAACAAGGACGCAAATTTAGATATAGCTCTCATATATATCTTCCACCGATTTCGGGTTAATTGTGCGCTAAATGGCCGATATCAGTCCAAATGTTAAACGTTAAAGTTGAAGAAAATCGGTTCGGAGCTTCTATATATATGTAGCTTCTATATATATGTTTCATCGGATTTTGTGTTAATGTGTTTAAATTTTTTTTAAGATTGCTCCCATATATACCTTTATCCCATATCAGATTTATTGTACACCTAATGGCTAATATCACCTCAAATGGACTGAATTTTGCCAATTCAGACGGAATTCAGCCAGAAGCAAGTACTTCAAATTTTGATGAAAATCTGTTCAGTTATAGCTATAGCTCCCATATATATGTTTCATATAAGGTTCATAGTTGGTATGATCTACTTCACAGAAATATTCAATATAAACTTTTTTGTTACGGGAGCACTACTAAATACACACAGTGGCGTGGGGTATCATGAAGTCTTCCCGCCCGAATTTTTACCATTCTTTATTTGTTTTTTTTTTTTTTTTTTTTTTTTTTTTGGAAATTTTCAAATTTCTTCCGAATGGTGGGTATTTAAATTTCGGCCCGGCCGAACTTGGTGCTCCTTTACTTGTTATACCCTCCACTATAGTATGGAGGGTACATTAAATTTCTCCTTGATCAGCATAAAATTCTATTTCTATTTAATGATGAACGTCATTCTGTCTCTCCATCTGTTGTTTTACTTAGATGTGTGTTTCGTCTGCAGGAATTTTGGCATTAAAAATTGGCTATATAGCTCCACGTTTAGGTATAGCCACAATATAACTGTACCTCCCTTTACTCGGTATTTAGATGATTTTAGAGACATTATTCCGGAATTGTTTCAAATTTCGTAAAAAGAGTTCGTAATGGGTACCGAAGCGTCTGACAGAAAATTGCCTTTGCAGGTCCACGCCCTCGTATTTAAGTTTTTTTTTTCACAGAATTATTAATGGACTCTTTTTTAAA